CAAACTCGGGGACCCTGTTCTGGTCGGGGCCCAAGCGCTGCCCCCACCCCCTCGTGTTCGACCCCGACAACGTGAGTGGGGTCACCTGGGGAGGGGACAGCACCTGGGGAGGGGACACCACCTGTGTCACCTGGGGGCGGGACAGCACCTGTGTCACCTGGGGAGGGGACAGCACCTGGGGAGGGGACACCACCTGTGTCACCTGGGGGCGGGACAGCACCTGGGGGAGGGACATCACCTGGGGGAGGGACATCACCTGGGGAGGGACATCACCTGGGGAGGGGACAGCACTTGGGTCACCTGGGGAGGGGACAGCACCTGGGGAGGGGACAGCACTTGGGTCACCTGGGGCTGGGGGCATCACCTGTGTCACCTGGGGAGGGGACAGCACCTGGGGAGGGACATCACCTGTGTCACCTGGGGAGGGGACAGCACCTGGGGAGGGGACAGCACCTGGGGGAGGGACAGCACCTGGGGAGGGGACAGCACTTGGGTCACCTGGGGCTGGGGGCATCACCTGTGTCACCTGGGGAGGGGACAGCACCTGGGGAGGGGACAGCACCTGGGGAGGGGACAGCACCTGGGGGAGGGACATCACCTGGGGAGGGGACACCACCTGGGTTACCTGGGATGGGGACAGCACCTGGATCACCTGGGGAGGGGACAGCACCTGTGTCACCTGGGGAGGGGACGGCACCTGGGGAGGGACATCACCTGTGTCACCTGGGGGAGGGACATCACCTGGGGAGGGGACAGCACCTGTGTCACCTGGGGAAGGGACAGCACCTGTGTCACCTGGGGAAGGGACAGCACCTGGGGGAGGGACATCACCTGTGTCACCTGAGGAGGGGCTGTGCCCCGTAGGTGCCACCCCTGTCTCTCTGAGTGTCAACCCTCCCGCCGTGGGTGCCACCTGCCCCCCGTGGGTGCCACCTGCCCCCCTTTGGGTGCCACCTGCCCCCCGTGGGTGCCACCCCCGCCCCTCTGAGTGCCACCTGCCCCCCGTGTCCC